GGGGGGGGTGCGTGGAGGGGTGTCCTGTCTGTTTGCTGGAGCTTTAGCCTCGGCCGACTAGTTTTTGCGTCTGAATTGTCCAGAGTGTAATTTCATTCTTGCGCAGACTAGGATTAGCCTATTGCAACAATGAGGTGGGTCTCGGGTCTCTCTTGTGAGGTCTTTATTTTCGCCGTAGTAAGACTTTCTTTTGAAGAAAAGCTTTAAATCAGCAAGCTGTGGTGCAGGTTACGAGAGAAAGCATTTTGTATTTTGCTGGTCTGTACGGACTTAGTCCCAATTAGGTACAAAATGCTTTGTGTTGACGTAATGCAGCAGTACAGCCTACATAATGCAGGTGATAACTGTGACACGCAGAGTTGTTTCCTTCTGTGGCACTGATTTACTGGGTTTTCAGCATTGTTTACAGCATGGAGATTGCCCTCCTTCCTTCCAAATCCTTTGTCCTTGGAAACTTTATTTCCATTGTGTGTTACTGAACTGGCATTTAGAAAAGCTAGACACTAGTCATTTCAATTTCCTTGGTTTCAGTGACCTCCCATCATAAGTGAACTGGTTACGGTCTCTATACGGTTGTGTCACAAAGGCACTTCAGGACTCAAAAATAAAAGAGCTTTTACTGCTGAGGAAGAACGAGTAATGCTCAGGTGCGATGAGGCTGCTCTTGGTGGACCTGCTCTTACTGTTTGATCCTAGAAGATCACCAGAGAAAAGGTGGTAGCACATGAGACTGAGGAGTCAAGGCTTTGGTTTTATTCTTCACGCTGTGGACAGGTTGTGTGACCTTGGGTGCATGCACATCCTGTGCCTTGATCTGTGTATTGAGTTAAGTCATGCAAACTAATTTAGGATGCTTATAAGGTCTGATATTTTGAAGGATTTCAAGACGTTCAGAGAAAATACACTTCCTGATTTTTAATTAAAATAACTTCAAATATTGGAAGTAATGCAAGAATAATGTATTCTATATAAAATAGAGACCCTTCAACACTGGCTGTGCTCTAATTACAGTGAAGAGCAGTAGCGCTATTGAATTTGATACTTTGTAGCAAAGTGGGATAGTTGTTTTCAGTCCTTTGATTGCGTACATGTGCAGACATGTCTGGTACTGTAGTTGAATGACCGTTCTGAGCTCCTCAGCAAATGAAACCGGCGCAAAAATTTAGAGTAGGTTAGCATCTTCTGGATTGTTTTCCTGCCATTTTAACATGAGTCATGGTTGGTCTGAGAAAGCCATGGCAATTGCAAATACTTTTGGGTTAGGTCAATATTTTGAACAAAATAGGAAAAACTGCCAGTTCTACTTATCCCCATGTCTAGAAAAGATGTAGGGGTTGTGGATTTTGGGGGGGGGATGGGGGGTTGGAGGAAAAAGGTTAATCTTTCTTAGTCCACCCCCTTTATTTCTTAATCCATTTATTTCTAGAAGCTACCCGTATGACAAGGAGGCTGCACTAGTTAGTGTGTTTAGCAGAACTGGAAATATGGCTTTTAAGTTGAGTATGTATCAACTTGGTGACAGCGCATAGGGAGATCAGAATCACTTGTCCTGTGGTGCCGTGGTGTCAGTTGTGTTCCTTAAGATCTAAAGAAGGAAGCTCCAAATTTGTAGCCTGTCAGCGTTCCCACCCGGGAGATCTTGGTCTCAGTAACCTTTAAAGGGGAGGTAGGGAACCAGACATAGCAGCTACAGCAGTGTCAAGGAGCCTCTTAAGCTGGTAAATGCCAAAGTCTCCCTGGAAAATGTAATGTGAGGTTCTTGGTCGTTTAGTTACCATGTGGCATGTTATCCCATAAGGAAAAGCGCTAAATGAGTTGGTGTGGGGTTTTTGTTTTTTTTTTTTTTGATGTCAGCTTCAAAGCTTATTGTAGTTATGCTAAACTGAATTTTCAGCACTGGTGCATTGGACGCAAAGTTTAAGTTGTAAATCTACTAGAGAATTTAGCTGAGGAGTTTTCAGCTTCCAGTTCTTGCATCTTTCTTAATCCTAAGCTTGGAGAAGAATGCATTTTGATAATGTAAAATGGCTACTGGTTATCTAGGAAGATATTACCAAAAAAAGTCTCCAAAACCTTATTTCCCTTTCCGTAAGTGTTTTGTTTTCTTCTTTTAGATTGTTATATTTTGCATTACAGCTTGTGATTTTTTTTTATAATTTTTTTTTGAATCTAGCAGTATTTAGTGCTTAATCAAGACACAGATGATTCAGATGAAGTTGTTAATGTAGTTTAGTGAAGTAAATTGATAATTATTTTTCTGGTGCCACTTGCTTTGCCTGTGGTTTGTCTATGATAAAATGTTCTATTTTGCTGTTTATAGGGGCTTAAATATGTAAATAAGTTGCATCTCCTTGGAAGATGTAACATTTGATATTGGTACCGACTGTACTTGAGGGGAGCAAAATGACTTGCTGTGTTAACACCAGAGAAGCAGTCTGAAGATTGTGGTTCGTGGTTAGTGCTCAGCTCATGAAACTTGAATAACTGAAAGTTAACAGTTTGGTAACAAGGCACCATCCTCATCTGACAAAACTAAAAGTGAGTTTTGGGAGAGGTTTGTGTCAGGAAGCAGAACTTAAGCTGCCATGAGCCAGTAATGAGGGAAGGACAGTGATCAGAAAAGGCGTTTTAGGCTCCGTATGGAGTAATAGCTATAGTAAGGTTAAGAAGCCATTCCTTTGTTAAAGGCCCTTCGTTTCTGCTTGCAGCTTAGCTGTGCTTTGGTATTTCAAGGTGGAATTTCTGATATTGGGTGTCTGTTTAGAAATAACACTTTTTTCTCTTTTTATATTTTAAAAAGGATCAAAACCAAAATAGGTGATGATTTATTACCAAGAGAGTTGATATGTGTTGTTCTTTAGGTATTAAAAAACGTTACTTAAATATTTATAGTTTAGCTTTCAATCCACTCTAAGCTTTTGCCTGAGTTTGATAGGGATGCTGTTCTTGATAAGGCACTTCAAAAAATGCAGCTAAAAATGGACTTGATTGGCAGAGTCAAGTTGCGGAAAAGCCAAAAGTGGAGAGAAATTATATATGCTTGTGGCTTTATAATGAGTGGTCTTCTCTCAGCATATATGTGTGTGCAGTACAGATTTTTGGTCTGGTTGGCACCAGTGAGTTAGATGTACTAAATGAACCAGGTTGGTGAGAGAGAATGGTAATTGGGAAGTATAATTGAATTTGCAGTCTTATCTCGTTAACTCTTATGTCCCCACTCTGAAAAGCTCACGTTTTTAGTGTAAATTTGCATAAACTAAAACACTCTTCCTGGTTGAAGAAATCTCTCTGAGAAGGCTTATAGCCTAATGGTTAGGGCAGTAGCCTATGACTGGAGAGATCTTGCCTCAAGCCTCCGATCTTCCTTTGCCAGCCTCCGTTAGATGTGTAGCTTTTCTGCTCTTCAGTTCTTTTTTTAAGTGGGAGTTAATACACTTTCCTTACCTGGCAGGAATGTTGCTTGAATTAAATATATGAAAGGTTTGAGATGCTCGGATATGGCAATGATGAGGGCCACGCAGGTTCAGAAACCATAGGCATCTAGTGAACACAGTTCCCCTGGAAATAATAATAGTGGCTGTACAGAAACATAACTACATTACAAAAGGGAAAAGAGGTGGCTTCTCCCTGATTTCTGGAGTTTGTCTCTTCCAGCTAGAAACACAGCATTTATATAGCTGAAGTCTTGCCTGTCCCTAGAGATGCCTCTGGATGGTGAGCGGCGGTGGGGTGGATGGCACGGCCAGCCCCTCTCCAGCAGCTCTTGAGGTTCCTGGGTGCCAATGGTGAAATCACTTCCACCCTTGATGCTCAGCTTTGCAACCAGCCGGGTTTTATGTTCTGGCTTTGAAGATGGAGTGCCTGTGACAAATTATTGTTGTTTACTGTTTGCACCTAAAGCCTCCGTTGTGGTTGACTTTCTGCTGAGCTTAGAGCTATGTTCAGCAGCAGTTTCTAGACTGAAGGAAGTGGTGTGGCAAGGATAACAAAGAGGAGGAAAGAAGACAGGAAAAGTTTGATGTAGAAAACGCAGCACTTAAGTCACTTAGGTGTGTAACTTGATGGTCTGGAATTGCGTGCAAGTTGCTTGCACTTTTGTAATAACCCAAATAAATATTGGTTGTTTGCAGCTGCTGCTCAGCCTCGACACCCCTGCCTGGCTGGATGCAGGCTGATGCGCCCCTAGGAGCACCGCGCAGCAGGAAGAGGCAGCGGGGCTGTGCCGGGGTCAGGGCACGGGCCTTGCCTTTGCAAGGGAAGGGAAAAGCTGAAAGGCGGTGCTCCTTGAGTGTTTGGAAAATGGAGGCTTGGTGAAGGGCATCATGTGGTCAAGACTAAGGGTAAGATCCTCTGGGAGTGTTTGGAGAGTTAGTACTGTGCTGTCTGTATGGTGTCTGAAATGCTGAGATACTGGGAGTACGTGCAGATGCCTGGTATTTTTGAAGTACTAGGAGGTTTTGGTTAAACGCTGCTTATGACCAGGAGTGGAAATGTTTCTAAAAGGTCTGTTTCAGTCTGTAACTGAAGAATAAGTATTTATAAGACGACTTTCTACAGGTCTGAAGTTATACAACCCCCCATGACTGTGGTGACCAAGCGCCTTTATGACAATAAGCTTACTTATCTCTCCATGCCCTCTGGAAGGAGCACACTTACCCCTATTTTGCAGATGGGAAACTGAAGGCCAGAGAAGTGATGTGTTCACAAACCCTTTGCAACATCTGGCTCAGAGCAGACCTGACTGCAGGCTTCTCAAGTACTGGGCTGCTGCCCCAGTGCAGGAGGATGCTTTTTTTTCCTGGGGAGAGGAAGCAGCAACTCCTACACCTCCCCCCCCCCCAAAAAAAAAAAAAAAAACCAAACCCAAGTCACTTTCTAGAGAGGTTTTTTTTTTTCTTTAATGTCTTTCTAATGTAATCTGTTATATGCAGCATAATTATAGTAGTAGTTTGACCCCTGCATACTTTAAAAATGCAAAGTATATTCATGTATTTCAGACTGTGAGACAAACCATATTAGCAGGCTCTCAGGATTAGCAGGATCTCAGGTTGTGGAATTTTGTTTTTTTCTTCCTGCGACTGTTCTGGGAAAGGGGAAGGCTGAAGCGTAGTTGTTCAGGAATTAAACTTCAAGGTATTTCTCTTGGAGTGTTTGAGTTGGCAGACAATTGCAGACATCTGCTAAATTAAATGTTGTGTACAGCCTTTTTTCTCGCTGTCATTTGGATGTAAGATGTTTCTCTAATTTGCTAGCGTAGCTGTAGCCAGGATGAGAAGTTGTGCGAGAGTTGTTTTTTGGGGTGGGGAGCGTTTGGGGGATGTAAATTCCACCTTCCTCGGACAAGTGCCGTTACCGCAGCCTTAGCTGACACGTGAAATGTGTTTGTGAACGCTGGGACCCTGAGCAGGACAAGGCTACGTTGCACACGTTACTGTCCCATGGAAAACGTGAAAAGGCTAGCGGTAAGAGCTGCTTTTTGATCTCACTTTATCCAAATAAGACTTGAGAAATCTGACTTGGGGTTTGAGAGGAGCTGGGGACTGTCAGAGCCCTGATGGGTTTGGGTAGTCTGACTTAGATCTGCACTGCCTGTTTCCAGCTTTCTGAGGCTGGTTTGTAATCTTAGGGGAAAGTTCAGGGAACAGTAACTGATTAATAAAATTGCTACATTTTCCCCACTCAGATAAAGGTTGTTATAAACAAGCAATACTGGTCTCACTTATTATTGCACTTTTTCTGTATTTAGCTGAAGTGTCTATTTGCACAAGTTCATTGCATGAGAAGCAAAGTTTAAAACTGGATCCAGCAGGCAGCATCTAGGGGCTCCGTTTGACCTTGAGACCTAAAACGGCTATAGGTGCACCTCTGCTCTGCCTAGCCTGAACTAGCTCGAGAAAGAGTCTTTATTCATCTAAACCCAGTGGAGGGCCTTGATCTGATTGGTGACTTCAGAAAATGTGTAGCACATTTCTGTGGGATTTGGGCTGCCTGGATTGGAGGCTGCTGATATGTTTTAAAAGAAAGGCAGGGGAGAGGGAAGAAATAAGGAGCCCTCGCTGTTAGTTTATAATCTAGTGTTTGGAGCTCGGGAAGCAGGGACTCGGTGCCATACCCAGCTTTAATCCCAAGTCTCCCTCCACCTGTATGAGCACCGTGTCATCAGCTGCCCCAGTGGGAGCCCCTGTCACACTTTGGGTGACACTAGGTGCTCCCATCCTTCATGGGAGGGTTGTGCCACTAGGTGGAGAATAATCCGTCCAAGAGAGCCGTTTCAGCGAGTACCGCAAGCACGAGGGAGTGCGTAGTGATGCGGCTCCCAGCCAGCGAGGTGGACGAGTGCTAGAGGTAAGGCCGTGTCCCATTTTATGTGCTCCGTCATCGATGGTCCTGGTGCGTGCTCCGTGGGCTCTGCTGTGGCTCCTCTGAAGGTCACTCCATGCCACATGCAGAAACAGCCCTTGAACCAGGGCTCCCATCCTTCCCAAGGGAACAGTTTAACTGGCAGAGACGCACCCAGGTCTTTTAATGGCAACTTGCTCCTTGGCTGCCCATAGGGCCTGAAGGCGCTGTAGGCTCAGTAGGAAGCTTCATCTAGCTGAGGAGGGAGAGTGCAAGCACTGAACTGCTGGGGTGATATCCTGCCTTCTTGTTACACCGAGGTCCACAAAAGTGTGCGAGAGGATGTTTTTGCTGTTCTGACTGGGCAAAAATCCCTTCCCTTCTCATGAACTTGAATCGCTGTTTATCTTGTCTTGAAAAGAAGGCAGATGCAAACGTAGATCAGGTACTTTCAGCACTTTAAGACCTCTCTGAGGTTGGGAAAAAGAAATCTGATTAGGGTTACAGCTGTTCCATTTCCTGACAGATGCACAGTGTGTTATGTGCTGGCTGACTGCGGATGTACACACATACATCAGTCTCACTTTGTATCAGTGGCATAACCACATAGCAGCCAGCTATGTACGGAACTACTTGTCCTGGACTCCCTGCCAAAACATGCTTTATGCAAAAATTTTCTGCGAACCAAGCTGTAGTGTATGGATGTACTCGTGTGTGTTTTCCTTGGGTGGTAGGGCTTTTGTTGTTGAGTTTTTAGTATGGTGCCCTACACCAGCAACTGTAAACAAATGTGGCTAGTTATGAAGCACTTGTAGAAAAATAATTGCATTTGTACAAATGGTACTAGAAAAAGTACCCATGTAAGGGTACTGTAAGTACCCAAATAAGCCCAGCTCTGAATGAGGAATTCTTTTCTTTCTTGCAACCACAGCTAAAAAGTTGTTTATAAGTAAATGCTGAGATGGTGTAATTTTCTTTTCTAGGAACTTGGAATAAGAATTCCTAGACCGCTGGGACACGGACCAAGCAGATTCATCCCAGAGAAGGAGGTGCGGTGGTGTTTTCAAGTACACAGTGAACTTTATGCTTTTAAGGAACAGTAGTAACCCACATTTGGTTTCAGGACAGCTGCTGAACTGCAAAACATTTTCAGTAGTGATCACATTCAGTCCTGGTGAGACTTTGGCCACGGTTCTAACGTACAAAAGCAGTGAGATGCCTGGGGGACTTTGGAACAGTTATGACACCTCTTGTACTACCTACCTAGCGTAAGAGAAACCCAATACTGTTTTCTGTAAGAGTGTCTGTTTGCACACTCCCGCTCCTTGTGAACATCCAGATGTAATTTCCTACTGGTCCACAAGGCACCTACCCTTCTGGTCTGGGGTTTGTTCCTTTTTCTTGAGCTGTCACAACCATTCTGAATAATCTGACAAGCTTCAAAGAGCTGTGGCTGAGCATTTCTCGTGCTTCTGTTTTGATGGGACTGGCAAGAGAATTTGGAGTAGGTGAAAGGTTTGTAATATGCCTGTGATTTTCTAGGAATTTTAGAGCCTTAAGCTTCAATTTCCCTTTATTTCTCTCTTGTCATCTTAGCTAGCTTTTTACTTCTTTACCCTTTTTTTCCCCCTCGGTAAAAATGATTATTCAGTTTGCCTGTTGCTGTTATAAATAAATAAATAAGATCAATTTGGGGCATTCAAGAAAGTGAAGATGAAACAGTTAAAAGTGAAAAGTCAGTGTTGCACATGAGAAAGTGTAAAGACAAAAATCTCCTTTTGCTGATATAACCATTTGTGATCCCCAAAATGGGAGATATTAAAAGAGTATCTTATGTGTCTCGCCTTATGTACGCTGATTTAATGCCATTAATAGATTTATCATACAATTTCTTGCTGGTGTGTGTTTAACAGAAATTCACTGGGGTCTCTGGGTGCTGTGGTAATATTTACCTCCTATATTTAATTTATCGGTACATCTTAGACAATGTTGCTAATTGCTCTTTCTGTTAAATCAGACCATTCAGGTGGGAAACGAAGACGCCATGATGCACACGCTGTTTGCGGATTCTTTTGCTACGCTGGGCCGATTGGACAATGTTACCTTGGTGATGGTTTTCCACCCACAGTATCTTGAAAGCTTTCTGAAAACTCAGCACTATCTACTGCAAATGGATGGTCCACTCCCTCTTCATTACCGACACTACATCGGGATAATGGTATGCTGGAACATAAAGCAGCAAGCAGAGACAGCCGCTTTGGCAATGATCTCTGGTCCTTTTTTTTTTTTTTTTTTTTTTTAAATAGTCGTTATTGCTCTGTTTTGTAGCTTCTAGATGGAGAGAGGCGTTTTGTCATAAGTTAAGGGGAAAAGCAGAGTAGGTTTGTTTGTGTCTGTTTTACAAATTGTTTCCTAAGACCAGTACTTCATGTTCATGGTTTCAGGAGGAATGTGAGGAAGAGAGAAAAAACTCTGTTATAAAAATAAGACAACTGTTTACTCTTGGTTTCTTTAGTATCTCAGAAACTGTTTTTCAAGGCAACTTATTTGTGTGTGTTCTAACTCAGCAGTTCCACCATCCACTTCTGAATCTCTGAATTCAAAACAAGTTTTTGGTCAGAAGGGGTTGGTTTTATAATTTCCAATCTGCTAGTGCAATGATTTTTGCCTTTTCAAAGTTGTATGAAAGATTGTCTTAATTCAATGGGGAAGGTATTACTGTTTGTATAAGTGGTACTTGATCTGTTCTTTGCTGAAAAGCTGCCCTTAGTTTTGCTGGCTATGCATTCTACAATCTGTTTTAGCTGGTAAAGATTCAGCTAGAGGCAATCTTGCCTCTACCATACTGGAGAGGATATATAATAAATCTGTAGCTGTACCTTTCTTCCCTGGGCATATGCATATTGCACCTGTAGCCAGCATTGTTATAATGTATATGAATGAAATATTGCTCTCACAACAGAAATGTAATCAAAACAGGCTACTGCATTGGTCACTTCTTTTTTTTTTTTTTTTTTAATTTCATTCTTTGAACACCACAAGTCTTATCTTTGAATACCTTGAGGAAATAATGACTTGTGGTATTTATCATAAAGCACTCACTCACTGTAATTGTTTTCTATGTCATAGTTGTGTTTTCCTTTCTAGGCTGCAGCAAGACATCAGTGCTCTTACCTTGTTAACCTCCATGTGAATGATTTTCTTCATGTCGGTGGAGACCCCAAATGGTTGAATGGCCTGGAAAACGCACCTCAGAAACTGCAAAATTTAGGAGAACTGAACAAAATGTTGGCTCACCGACCCTGGCTCATCACCAAAGAGCACATTGAGGTAAATCATCTGTTGAGTAACATGAAACGTACCCTTAATTTTCAGTAAATGCAATCACAGATTTATAGGGTTAAGAGGCAGACAGGGAAAGGTGCTCTCTATTAGTGACTTTTATTTCAATGTTATATTGCTTTGATATGGCATGATACATCACTTGTGCTGAAGCCCTGCAATACCCCCGTGAAACTAGCATGATCGTTACTGATCTCAGATCACTAACAAACTTAATTGACAATATACTGATATTTCAGAGCTGTCATGTCAGAATTGTGTTGGTATGATGACAGTGTGCACAGGTGTGCAATTCTTTAAAGTCATATGCTTTCAGTAAGCAGAAGCCCTGAGCATTTCTGAGATGGTGCCAGAGGTTAGACTGTACACAAGTCAGCATATTTTTGTCTCAATTGTTGTCACTTCAGATTCATAGTTTTCAGATATCTTCACCTAATCTCCATGCAGGCATTTCTGAGTCCCTGGTGTTTGCACCTAAGATAACTTTATAAAAGCAGGCTTCATGAATAAGAAAGGCTGAAATTCAGCATGTCATTTGTCATACACCCCACTCCCTGTGCCTGACTCTGCACTGCAGTTTGGTGGAGCGACTGATGCCAAGGAAGACGCATGCCCAGGCTGTTTAGGGAGCCGGCTGGTAGAACAGCCCAGGGGAAGGAGCAGCTGTACAACCAGCTGGGATTGCTGGAATCGGCCTGAATCCTCCAAGTGGTTATTTCTGCTGCTTTTTCCTCGACGGTTACTCAGATGAGCTAGTTTTGGATGTGCTATGATGGCAGCTCTTGTGGCACGGCAAGCCTGCCCCGAGCCTGGCTGTGGTTACTGGAGCAACTCTTCTTCCTCTGCTCTTCTTTAACCTTAGCAATGAGGAAATGGGTGCTGGGACTTGCTCAGTGCTGTCTGCCAGGTGGACAGGCAGCGGCGGGAGGCAGGACCGCGGGGGAGGGCGCACGCTCTGCCAGAAGGCCATAAACCTCCCACACTTTCCTGCCCATAAGGGGAAGCTGGGGTTTGAAACTTCTCAACAGAAGTAGAGCATTCCACTCACAGGGACAAGGTGGAGAGAGCCCTGCCTTAATATATTGGGTTTTCACACAGCTGATCTGCAAGGAAGGGTCCAGGGTTTTCTGAGACTGCAAGGACTAGTTGAAGAAACAAGTGATTGTTGTGGTTGCATCCTCATCAGAGATGGGAAATTTCAACACAAGTCAGCCTGGTTTTAATAGAAACCTGAAGGTGCAAAGTGAAAACCACAGCTGATCAAATAACTGTTTGGGGGCTGGAGGAGGAGAGAGAAGTCATTTGCTATGCAGCTTAACCACATGAATCTGTGGGTAGTAGGTAACCTGGTAATAGGACACTGAGCGTGCTAAGGGCAGCAGAGAGTTAGGAAGCAGTTGTGGATCTTGGAAGAATAACTTTATCTGGCAAAGAAATGTGTTGGTAAATTATATTAACTTCACTGCAGTGGGTAGTAGAATCATTTGAACTGCTTTTTAAAATCGATACTTTTGTCTTGCTTTGTTTTTAAAGCAACTTTTGAAGACTGAAGAGAACAGCTGGTCCCTGGCAGAGCTGATTCATGCAGTAGTTCTGCTCACACACTACCACTCCCTTGCTTCCTTCACGTTTGGCTGTGGGATCAGTCCAGAGATTGACTGTGAAGGTGGTCACACTTTCAGGCCCCCTTCCGTCAGTAACTATTGTATATGCGATATTACAAATGGTTACCATGGGGTGGATGAGAATCATGCCAGCCCAGCTGGAAGTATTCCAGTAAGTATATGTCTGAACAAACTGTCTCTTTCAATACTCACAACTTCTGGGTAAACATAATACAGAGAGGATGCCTACGTCTATATCTCTGTCTGTTTGGTGAGAGTGGGACAGTTGATCAGGCTAATCAAGATGAGGACTAACTGGTTGGAAAGCTACATTTAGGTGAAGCTGAAGTGGTACTGGAGGAAGGTACCAAAGGAAGTGACAGAGATACAGTCTTTGTCACATGTTTTCTCTGTCTCTTGCCATTCAGACAGGCAGACTGAGAGTACTGCTGGCCTTGGCTAGTTCACGATACATGTCTTGAGCAGCAGTGGTCAGGAATGCCTTTTCTCGTCTGTGCAGTGGAGATCCAACTCTTCGATTCCCATTTTTGGCTTTGTTGCCTCAAGGTGTTTGTGATACACCACGCAACGGATCATTCACAATTTTCTGACTGGGTGTCTAAAACAGCACTTCCTACCTGCAGCGCTTCCTGCCTGCAGCACTTCTGCTCAGTGATCGGTACCTGTTTCCAATTGACAATCATAATGTGAACTGAGCATTGGTTTAAGGGCAGTGATAACAGGATATTTTCAGTGTGCGTTCCTTGCCTGTGAGACTTTTTTTGCAGTAGCGTGGGTGGTATTTGCATTTTGTCTGATGAGCTTGCTGGTTCTCTGAAGGAGCAGGCTGATTGCGAAAGGTATAGAGGAAAGGGGCAGGATAGTATAAATTGATAGTATAAATTTTATTTTGTTTTGTGCTGATGGATTTTTACATGACCAGATATTGAATTAATAGCGTGTTGTGACAGTGTTAAAACCGCTCTCGTGAAATAAGATTAGCGTGCACTCGCTGTCCTTTGAGGCTTCATAAAACCTGCATTTACACTCACTCTTCCTTCTTCCTTTGATATGTTTGTGAGCAGAGAAGGGGAAAAATACAGTTACGTAGTAAATTGTGGTTACTTCCTCTATCAGAATTTCTGTTATAGCTCCTTGTTTTTCAGTTGTTTAACATTTAGATTAAGCAAGAAAAATAATTTTAATTTCAGTGTGAGAACCGCTTGTTCCAAAAAGCTGTGACTCTTCAAATATACTAAAAATATCAGGGATCTAACTGAGAAAAGATGATGACTAAATGTGAACTGTTGGGTCGGTACAGATTTCTTTCAAGAGCTGTTTTCCTAGAAAAATCAGTATTTAAAGATGCAAGTGAAAGACACAGCCTGAGTTTAAATTTTCTGGCTTGAAGATTTCTACCATAAATGTCAGTGCTTGTTACACAGGGGACTGCCATGTTTGTCTCTCCTTTTCAAGACTACAGAGTCTGTCTGTGAAGTTGAAGCTCTTATGGAGAAAATGAAGCAGCTACAGGAGTGCAGAGATGAAGAAGAAGCCAGCCAAGAAGAGATGGCTACACGTTTTGAAAGAGAGAAGAGAGAAAGCATGTTTGTGTGCTCTTCAGGTAGAGATGCACAGATATAGTATATGCATTTGCTTAGACTTTTCCAAGTTACTTGAAGAAATGTTTATTACCAAACAGGGGGTTGGGGGAGAAAGGGTAATTAGATGTTTCAAAACCGGTATCATTACTTTAAAGGGATCAAGATTGAAGTGCCTTGTTTACCTCCAGAAATGCTTTTAAAAGTAAAGTAGTGCCAAGGTTTGTGGCATCTCTCAATCATACTGTAATACTCACAGACCAATATTTATTTGCTAGAAACTTACCTCCAACAGAAATGTGAAACACAAATCTCACAAGACAGTGTTTAAAAAAAAAAAAAAAAAAAAAAAAAAAAAAAAAAAAAAAAAAAAAAAAAAAAAAAAGTCTTTAAGACACCTAGCTATTTAAGTTTATGAAAACATTACTTTGCAGATGACTCTGAAATGACAGTTAATCTGTTACAAGCTTAGCTTTGTTCTGGGTTCTTCCACAGAGTTTCTCTCTAAAATAAATATGGCATATAAGACTTACAGGTCTATTTTTCCCTAAACTCTCTGTTCCAAAACACATTTTCCCTTGTTAATTTTACAGAACCCCTGAGTTAGGAGCCAACTGTCTCCTAGATTCGGGGGACAGGGAGAAGATTAGTACACAAAAGAAGGGAGAAAAGATCTTTCTCTGTAGGAAAGAATCTGAATATTTTTCAAAGGGTTTTTCAAAGGTCTCTAAAAGACCATAGTTGCAGTCACATCAAGGTGTACTGAAGAATTTTAATACTGGTAGTCCAGTGAAACTGTGTGTTTATCTTTAAAGTGCAGAGACTCTTATTTAGAAATTGTTGTGTGTTTCTGTTTGAAATCAACAGAAGATGAAGAATCAGCACCAGCAAGAGATGTGTCTCGCCACTTTGAGGATACCAGCTATGGTTACAAAGACTTCTCCAGGCACGGAATGCATGTGCCCACCTTTCGTGTTCAGGTAACAGAGGGGGGCTGGTGCCAGCAAGCGTACTGTGCGATCTGCTGCTTGTGCTAGATACCAAAACTAGAAATTGCTGTGCTGTAACTTATTGCCCCCATGTCTGAGAAGACTTAAAAACTAAGTGGACAAAGAAAACCCTCACACTGGATTATTTCCCTTGAGATAACTTATGTTAAAACACTTAGCTAGGCCTTCAGAAGTTCATTTCTGAAATGCTCCATTCTGCATTTATATTTATTCTAAGGATTATTCCTGGGAGGACCATGGCTATTCCTTGGTTAATCGTCTTTACCCAGATGTGGGACAACTACTTGATGAAAAGTTTCATATTGCTTATAATCTGACTTACAACACAATGGCCATGCACAAGGATGTGGATACCTCAATGCTAAGACGAGCTATTTGGAACTATATTCATTGTATGTTTGGAATAAGGTCAGTCTTACCACTTTTGTTCTATGCACATCAGACTTGGCTTTTTAGCGTTGGCTTTCTTCTGGATTGAAGCAAAGCCATTTATTATGCAAACATACGTGCACCTCCTACTGGTCTGTTGCTATATGATGGGGAAGGGTTAGTGGTGGCACAAATTATACAATAATTTACTTTCCTATAGGAACTTATGAACAATGCAAGTAAAAAAACTGGTTCTTTAAAATGAAAGTCTTTCTCTTTCAATTCTGAACAGATATGATGATTATGACTACGGTGAAATTAATCAGTTGTTGGACCGCAGCTTTAAAGTTTATATCAAGACTGTGGTTTGCACTCCTGAAAAGACCACAAAACGAATGTATGACAGCTTCTGGAGGCAGTTTGAGCACTCTGAGAAGGTACAGTTTGCATGCGTTGAGGCACAGTAGGTAGATCTGTTTGCCGTGCTAGCCACCACAACTAGCCAGCTAGCCTTTATACTTCAGTTGGATTCTGCTCATATTCAGTAAAATCATTAGTAGGTAGTAATTCTCAGACTGAAATAATTTTTCTTTCCATACTGAACATTTGCTAGCTAACACTGAGTGTGCAAGTTCAGAAGCATGCAGGAAGGTTAGATACATAAACAGCTTAGTTTTGGAACACTTCCAAGCTTCACCTTGACTGCAGCATTCTTCCCCACTGTCAGTCAGTATCGCCTGGGACCGAGAGAGGCGAGGGAAATGATGCAAGATCCATTCCTCGCCCTCAGACTCAGAGCAGTGTGCTTTCTGGCCAAGGTCTTAGCAGTCTTATGGTCGATTTTAGTGTGATTGGCCCCAGTGCAGTTGCTTTGTGTTAAAGTCTGAAGTTCTGTTGCTGTGTTACACGCTAATTTGCACCTCCCAGTAATATTTCATACTGTTTGTTAACTCAGGGTTCTACTACATCAAGTTCACATCTTCTGGTTTTTCTTTGGAAAAATATTTCTGGGCCCCCAGCGTTACAATGAATGCTGATAAAAATACTGAAACATAGACTAATCAGAGCCAATATCCTCTGAGGCTCTTTTTCTTGTTAAACCCCTTATGAAAATAGTTTAGAGATATCCAATTATAATAGTGGTTCTGTAGATGTGATGATTTAAGGGTGGAAGTAAAATAAATTAAGCTAAATTCAAACAACTGTTTTTCAAGCTGTACATGGTCTGAAGGGGCTTCTGCTAATGGGGCTGCAGAAGGGCTTGTGTGCTCGAAAGTTTTTCTGTTCCTTCCAGCTAAACAAGTTGGTCGACTAAAGGATGCTACCTCTTCCCATGAGCCTGACCTTGCTTAAATGTAGCCTGTGACCCCTTGCTGCACCATGTGGCAGTACTGCAGTTAAACCTTGTTAAATCTTTCCCTCTTCAGCAGGCTTTACAGATGGCATGTTACAGCTACCCCGATAATTAGTTCTAAGTGCTCCCCTGCTGCTAATGCAAAAACTAGTATGAAAAACCACAGTCCCACACATTTCCTTTGGCTAAAGTAACTTTATTCTGAGCACATTTTTAAAGCATAGCTTCTTTTTCTTTCCCAAAGGTCCATGTTAATTTGCTTCTGGTAGAAGCTCGGATGCAGGCTGAACTACTTTACGCTCTGAGAGCTATTACTCGCTATATGACCTGATGCCTTTGGCCACCCATTCATGTCGGAATGTTCCGCAGCTGCAGAATGGCAGAGGAAGCTACGAAGCCTCAGGACCAACGGTAGCTATAAATTCAGACGCCCATTGTGCCATAACTCCTTTAGTTTCAGCTATTTCAGTGTTTGGAATATCACTGCTGCCACTAGGCAGTGAATGCTTGGCAGTTGAAAAGATAGAGTTGTGCAGAAGTGCTGCCTGATCATGGTATTTTGGCTTTAGACAGCACAGGACACTCTATGAACTTGTGGCAATATAGCAAATGATAGATATATAAATCTTGTATTAAGGTAAATCTTGTATTAAGGCAAATACAACAGGAGTTGGAGCGT